TTAAAGATAGAATTCATGTGCCACAAAAACTCACAGTTTTAAAGTGCGTAATTCCGTGGTCTTTCACATACTCACAAAATCATGCAACCACCACTCCTGCCTGATCACAAAACGTTCTCATCACTGCAAAAGAGAAGCCCATGCCCAGGTAGCAATTATTATCTGTTCTCCAATTACCCAGCCTCTGACCACGACTATTCTACTTTCTGTCTGTATGTGTCAGTTCTGGATAGTTCGCGTAAATACACTCAGGCACTAAGTGGACCAGGCACAGTGCAAAGGCTCAGCCCCACCTCCCCCAATGGACACGCGGGTTGGTGCGCGACGGGCGCCCAATCGCTCTCGAGCATCCGGAGACGCAGGTGGAGGTGGAGGTGGAGGCGGCAGTGGCCGTTGCAAGGTGCAGGAAGCCGGCGGGCAGGCATGGCGGGCTGGTGGCGGGCGCTTCCGCGCGCGGCCGGGCTCTACCCGTGGCCCACCAACGTGCTGCTCTACACCGGGCTCTTCTCCGCCGGCGATGCGCTGCAGCAGCGGTTGCGGGGCGGCCCGGCTGACTGGGGCCAGACGCGGCGCGTGGCCACGCTGGCCGTGACCTTCCACGGCAACTTTAATTACGCGTGGCTGCGCCTGCTGGAGCTGGCGCTGCCGGGCCGCGCACCGCGCGCCGTCCTTACCAAGGTGCTGTGCGACCAGCTACTTGGAGGGCCCATCGCGCTCTCAGCCTTCTACGTTGGTGAGGGGCTGGGAACCCGGGAACCTGGGAGCGATCCGCTGAGGTTGTAGGGCTTCGATAGGTGTGGGGAGAGATGGAGAGCACTGCGGCAGGAACTAGGAGCTCAGGAAACCAGGGCTAGAGGCCTTGGGGCGGGAACTGGAGGTCTAGGCACAGGGCCTGGGTGTCTGGATACGGGGACTGAGATTTCTGAAAGGGAGCAGTTAGGTAGTTGAGGAGGTGGGGAACCTGAAGGCCCTCAGGTCAGAGATCCAGGTGGCTCAAGTCAGAGCTGAGAAGCTGGGATTGGGCGGGGTGCAAGGCTGGGGCATAAGTGGGGCAGGCGGGGGGGCGGGGATGTGGGGGGCCGTGGGGGGGGTGTCCATTTTACCCTGAAAAGGACACATTGAAGACCCCAACTTGATGCCATAGAACCACTGTCCTGAGGGCCACTTGTCCTATGGAAAATCCAGGTACCAGTAACGTGGGAATCACTAACCCTGGGGCACACAGCTGGTAGAACCTGAAGTAGGGATTGATTCCTCAGAAAATTCTTCTCCTGGGTCGTAGTCCTGCTTTGGTAACAAAAGTTGACTGAGGGGATTCATACCTGTGCTGGAGCTCTGACCTCAGAAATTCCACCTTGGGGCCAGAAGGCTTGACTTTGGGAACCTTCTCTATGTCTGATTAACAAGGACAATAGAAGGGCCTGAGTGGCTTCTGTTATTCTACCAATGTCTATCGGCTTGAAGGGTAACTAGGGAAGGGTACTCACTACCTCAGAAAATCTCCAGGATTCTAGGCCTGATCTTGGCATAGGGGATCACAAAGTCTTCCCAAAACTGGAGGGGACCCCTGTCTGTAGCTGTTGGTGTCTTGTCAAACTGGTTGAGACGGGGCATGGTGACACACTCCTGTAATCCCAGCACTCAGGAGGCTGAGGCAGGAGGATTGCTATGAATTTGAGGCCAGCCTTGGCTACCTAGTGAGACCCTATCTCAAACAACTAAAAACAACTAAATTTGAAAAAAAAAAAAAAAAAAAAAACTGGTTGAGGACAGGCAAGCCAGCATTTTGAAGAACCTTACCCAGCCCTATAGGACTTATTTGAAGGAAGGCATGTTCAGTTCTTTTCTCTGCATGGCCGATAGGGCCAGTAGGGTTAAGAGAACAGAGGTCTTTTGGTGTATCCACAGTTTGTACCTAGTCCTTGGCTGTGACTTCTTGATCAGCTTTGCAAACAGGTTCTTGTGCCTGGTTCCTACCACAGCCTTGAACACTGAGGAAGGGTCTGGAAGCCAGGGGTGGAGTGGGGACCAGACTCTTGTTTCATCTTCAGACAACCAGAGACAGATGCTCTCATTATTTCTATGTTAGATTCGGGCAAACTGAGACGTGAGGAGTTGTGCAGTTTGCCCAAAGGCAACACAACCTAGGGCTCTCAGTTCTGATGCTCTAGTTACGAGAGTACTGTCAGTCTATCTGAGACAGAAAGATGCTGTTCCAGGGCTTAGGGACACCTATGATTCAGGCCAGAGGCCCCCAATATGGATTCCTCCTCAGATTGCTGCTTTGATTTTCAGATTTCTGGCCCAATTTCCCTGCCCTCATGCTATCCTTATAGGTGAAAAGTGGAGGGTGGTGCGTTGGATGTTTGTCCTTGGGGTTGCGTGAACCAGGCTTGTGCCAGGGCCCCTTTGGGGAGCCAGAGGAATAGAGGATTAAGAGGTCTGGCTTAGAAACTGGACACCTGGGTTGGATTCTTCTGCGCTAAGATCTTTGCTTCCTTTTAAATCTACCTATGTCAGCAATTATTTAGGAGGATTCAGGTGAAATGACGCACATGGAGTGCTTAGTATTTAGTACTGGCAAAGTGGAAGACAGTATTACTAATATTTTCTGGGTTTTCTTATGAATCTTATTCTAAGAATCTCCTGCATCTAACTAATAAATTTTTATCTCCCTCCCTCCTAATCAGGGATGGATTGTTTTGGGTTTTTTGAAGACAGGGTCTTGCCACGTAGCTCTGGCTAGCCTCAAACTCAGTGATCTTCCTGCCTCAGCATCCCAAGTGCAGGTGTCTGCCACCATGCCCATCTGGGAGAGAATTTCTAAGCACTCATTTTTATACCTTCTTAAAATAGAGTTTTGTCCTTGGTCCCCAAATTTCTTTTCAGTGATGCTGAAGGTGAAAAGTTTTTAAAGTGTTTTTAGGAACACTAAATTGGGGCTTTGCATTCAAACTCTGATTAGAAGAACACTGAAGAGAAATTTGTAGTTGCCAGAGTATTCTAGAGTTCACCAGCCTTTTCTAAAAAGAATGGGGTTAAGGTGGGGTTGGAGCTCAGTGATAGAGGTTGTGCTTAGTTTGGATGAAGCCCGGGGTTCACACCCCAGTACATATGCACGCACGCACACATGCACACACTATCAGACACACACACACATACACTGTCAGACACAGAAAATCACAAAAATTGGGAGGGGAGAGAAAAGTCACCTGTAGACTCACTATCCTAATGTAATTTTTGTGTATTCTTACGGTTTTTTTGTTTTAAAACTGTTCTGCTACAACTTTTGTATTCTCCTAGTTCCCTTTTGTATTTGTCATTCCTTTAACACTTACCCAGTTTTAGAATAGAGATTATTTTCTCTTTTCAGTGTTGGGTCAAAAGGCATCTACTGAGTGAATGATAATAGTGGGTTATTTGCATATTGGAATGGGAAACTTGAACATAAACTGGTATAGCAGTCTTATTTAATAATTTTAAAATGCTCTTGGTATATGTTTTTGCAAATAGGTATGAGCATTCTCCAGGGACAAGATGACATATTCTTAGACCTGAAGCAGAAATTTTGGAACACATATAAGGTAAGTAAGATAGGCTTTTGAAAATGTAATCAATATCTTTTTGTATATTTTTAACAATAAATACATCTTAATACACCTATTCTTAAACTAGGCTCCAGTTTGGTAGACCCAAGAGTTTAATATTTTGACAAAGAGATCTTGAGAACATGTTTTATGAGTTAGGGTCTCATTCTGTTGCCCAGGCCGGCCTCAAAGTCTGCTTATATGATCTCCCTGCCTCAGACTCCCAAGTAACTGAGGCTACAGGTATGCACCACTGTACCTGACTTGACTTTGTTTTAGTTGGTCAATCAGGGCAGGTTTTAGGAGTGGCTCTACTTCTCATGGATTGGAAAGAAATAATCTCTGCATTTTAGCCAATGTTTGCAATGATTTCTGACTTTATTATATTTATTCTTATTAGCACTCACTTCTTATTTATTTACTTGTTTTTGTTTTTTTGAGATGGAGTCTTGCTATGTAGTCCAGGCTGGCTTTGCACTCACTGTGTAGCCCAGGCTGGCCCAGAATTTGCAATTCTCCTGCCTCAGCCTCCTCAGTGCTGGGATTATAGGCTTGGCTTGTTAGCAATCACAATTTATTTTGTAAAGTTTGGAGCCTATCAGCAAAATAGGAATTGTGGAATGTGAGTGGGTTAATGAAATCATTCCCATGTTCAAAACCAGTGTTTGTGGGTGTGCATTCTTTAAGTCCCTGTGAAAAGAATCTTCTTAATAACACCTCTGTATTTACAGAGAAAGATAATGTTTCCCAGGATTATTCTGCTTGAAGCAGTCACCTGCTCTACTCTTTGTTCATTACAAATACATACAGCTCAGTCCAACCAATTAATTGTTTAATGAAGGTGCCTTGAATAGTGCCTTTAAGATCTGGCAGAATTAGGAATATTTTTCATCTGTTGCCTAGAGCATATTTGATTCTGTTAATAACAGGTGAATTTTCAGGATTCCAGAATATATGCAGTTGGACGTAGTGTTTCACAGGTACTTAATTCCCTTATGAGAAGCAGTGCCAAGGGGCTAAGAGAGTGTAGCCCAGTGGTAGAGCATGGATTAGCATGCACGAAGCCCTTGGCTCCACCTCAGCACAGGCATATGCGTGCGCGCGCGCACACACACACGCACGCACATGTAATGTCACACTGAGCTGTTACCTCACTGCTTCTAGCATCTTTCGCTGAATGGTACTGAGCTCCAGAACTCACATCACCCACTTGGTCTTTAGAGGCAGAAGGCAAGAAGATTTGAAGCTCAGGTTTCCCCTGAGGGGAACAGTTGTAGTAGTCCCTTATACCTCAGGACAGTTCCTACAAGGGAAACTGTTCAGAACTCTTATTTGGACAGAAATTGTGGGTCCATGGTGATATCACAATGTGATCGTCTTCTGCTTTAATTTGGAAAAAGAAACAAGGTTTCCCATTACGTTACAGGCTTTATGCAGATATATACCTCTAATATTTTAAAAATGAGTAAGAAGTAGAATTAGGAAGAAAGGCTAGAAGCAAGGGTTTGGAGATGTTTTGGAACCTCCCCTCTCAATGTAAATATACAGGTTAAAATTTGGAACAGAAACTTGGGAACCTTTGCATACATTTTTATTTTGTTTTTTTGTAGTGTGACCGAAACCTATATATATGGCCTCATATATGTTAGGCAAGTACTCTACTACTGAGCTGTATCCCCAACTCTACTCTCTTAGAAAATAGTGGTTATAATGAATTAGATTTAACTGTACCCATGAGAAGAAAGGAGTTTACCAGCAATCTGAAGTCTAGTTCCATTTAGTGATTTTTCTGAAGATCACCTGTAATAAACTATCTTCCAAGTGGCAGAGTAAAATAAAAGCAGATACATGCAATACACATTCTGTCCTTAAAGAACTTATAGTCTCATGAGATAGACAGTAGGTAAGTCATGCACTAGCGTGCTGTATGAGAAATGCTGTAGGGTCCCAGAGCAGAGGGGCACTTAGAGCAGCATGGAGGTATGTGGTGAAGTTCGAGGAACGCCTCCTGGGTCAGATGATGCCCAAGCTGAGGTCCCCCCATCCCCATACTGGTGATTGAACTTGGCTCTTTTGCACTGCACTACATCCCCAGCCCCACCCCCCTTTTAAAAATAAAATCAATTTAATGGCAGACCCTTACCCCAAGGCTACAGGGCTGTCCAGGCAAAGAGAAGAGGCATTTGCTACCGTATGGTCTACAGTGGCTGGCAGTGCCACAGAAGGGAGTTGTGTGGCACATAGCTGAGTGAGTAAGAAGATGAGAAGGGCCCTCAGTGCCTGGCATACTAGGATCCTTTCAGGTTAGTCCTTACCCTTGGGTGCCCAAGGTCCAGGTGAACCCTGCATTAGAGTCTCTAGAATAAATCCCTTTGCTTTGTTCCTTGGTACCTACCTTGTGTCAGCAGTCAGACTTGGACTGAGTGCGAGGTTCTAAATGAGCCAGAGAGGGGCTCGGCTTGACCTCATGGCCAGATGTGTCTCCTCTGGCTGTGCATGCGCAGGAGCCCACGGGGCCCAGCATGTGGCTTGTCTGGTTTGTCACGTGGCTGCAAAGGCGCAGATGAGAGTTTGCATTTTCTCTTCTTTCCCCTCCCTTGAGTATTTGTATTTTGGGTTGGTGTATACTTACACATACTTTTTCCCCCTTACCATCTTTCCCCCTCATCTCCACAACCCTCTCCCTTTAAGAAAAATAAATAAATTGCTGTGTATAATGTGAGAAAAAAATAAAGTGTGAACTAAATGAGTTGAGGAGCAACTGGGAATGAATTTGGATCTTGGAGGGTGTTAAGCGCCATGCGGAGGATCTTGAACTTCAGCCTTAGGTAATAGCACAAGAGACATTAATGGTTAGAGGTAATTGTGAGCAAGTTTACCTAAGAAATAAGGAAGCAGTGGGCATAGAAGTGACTTGAGAAGTACTGTATCTAGGAGGTAGCATTGATAGTCTTGAGCTGGGCATGGTTGCATATGCCTGAAATCCCAGTTGCTCAGGAGGCTGATGCAGGAGGGTTGCAAATTTGAGGTCAGACTGGGCAACTTAATAGGAGCCTGTCTCAACAATAAAAATTAAATAAATATAAAGGATTGGGAATGTAGCTTAATGATAGGGTACTTGCCTAGCATGTGCAACACCCTGGGTTCAGTTCTTAGCACTACCAAAAAAAAGGTAGGTCTTGATGCTTGATTAACTGTGGCAATGAAGGCCAAGGGCACCGAACGATCCGCTCCTCTGGAGTGAGCAGCTGTGTGGGTGGGGTCATCGTGTGAGACAGACCATAGAGGAGAGGGAGCCAATTTGAGAGAAAATGAGTTCAGTTTGGAAAATGTTGAATTTCAGATACCTTAGATTATTCTGAGGGAGACTTTCAGATGCACAGAGAAAAGTTCAGAGGTAGAGGAATTAGACAGGGGAGAATTTGGGCTCAGTGTAGGCTTTTAATTCAGGCTTGATAATCCCAGCACTCAGGAGGCTGAGGCAGGAGGATTGTCGGAAGTTGGAGACCAGCCTGGGCTACAAAGTGAGCTGAAGGCCAGCCTGAACTGCATAGCGAGACCCTGTCTAAAAAAAAAAAAAAAAATTCAGGCTTAATAAGGAAATAAAGAGCACAATTTTTGGAGTCAGAAGTAAGGAAGCTTCCACAGAGAATCTGCCGCACAAGGCCATCTTGTACCCAAGAAGTGTGTGAGAGCGTCAGTTGGTTGTTGGTGAGGAGCCACGCCTCTGCCCAGGCCCTGTTGTCTTGAGAAGGTAGGAAGGGTGTGTATCTTGGTTACTTTTCTCTCGTTGCTGAGACAAAATACCCAACACCCAAAATTAAGGAAGGAAAGGTTTATTTAGCTCACAGTCTGTGGAGGTTTCAGTCCGTAATCAGCTGACTCCCAGCACTTCAAGGCAGCAGAAGCAAAAGCAGCAAAAGCAAAAAGGGAGGAAAAGCCTCTTTTCCTCCTTTATATTGTATATGGGCTATCTGCCCACTCCACACCATCGCCGGGCCCTCCCCTTCCACAAGCTGAGGATGCTTACAAAGTAAGGACCCTGGCCCCCTGCTACATCACTGTTGAACTTTTAAACTTCTCAAGTTGGCACAATGAACAACATCCCAGAGCGGTAAGGGCGTGTCCTTTTTACCTCAATGGCTGAAACTAATACATAATCTGTTGAGAAGCATTTTTAAGACCATGCAAATGGACATAATGTATCCCGTCCAGTGGATCTTCTTTTTCTGTTTTATTTTTGTTTTTGAGACAGGATCTCACTTTATAGTTCTGGCTGCCCTTGAACTTGCTATGTAGCCCAGTGTAGCTTCCAACCCACAGCTTCCTGAGTGCTGGGAACCACCATGCCCAGGTCCCTGTCTAGTATTTCTGCATCCATTTCTGATTCTGCCTGTGCCACTCTTTGCTGTTGTGATGGGCTGCCCAGGGCGAGTTAGTTTCTACCTCCAGCCCTGGCCCCCGTATAGAGATGACACTCCACGTTCTAGAGTGAGCTCTAGCCCACTCTTCTCTGCCAGGTGTTTCTCTATTAGTAGTGTGGATGCAGGGGCTCCCATTTTTTCAATTGCTTATAATTCACTGCTGTGGTTAATTATTTTTGGTGCTCAAATGTCCCAGATTTGGCCAGTGAGAGGCCCTTTAAGCTGGCCCTATGTCCTTGCCACATCCTCTGTTTCTTCTCTCTCTCTGTCTCTTTTTAAAAAAAAAAACAAAACAAAACAAAAAAAAAACACTTCCTTACTTTCTGGCATAACAAGATGTTCCAGACTTATCTTTTACTTTGTTCTCACCCTGCCCCAGTCCTGAATCAGCTGTTTCTTTAGGAAGTCCTGAAGCCAGGCACAGTGGCACCTGCCTGTAATCCCAGCACTTGGGAGGCTGAGGCAGTAGGATCTTTGTGAGTTTGAGGCCAACCTGGGCTACAAAGTGAGCTCAACTCCAGCCTGAGCTGCATAGCAAGACCTTGTCTCAAAAAGACAAGAAAAAAAAAAAAAAAAGAAGCCAAAGAAAAAAATACAAGAAATCCTGATTCTGTTTTGTGAGGATGATGTAAAAGTTAAAGATCTGAGCAGTAAAGCTGGATGTGGTGGTACATGCCTGTAATCCCGGCACTCAGGAGGCTGAGGCATGAGGATCCTTGCAAGTTCGAGGCCAACCTGGGCTACAAAGTGAGCTCAAGGCCAGCCTGAACTGCATAGCAAGACCCTGTCTCAAAAAAAAAAAGATCTGACCAGTAGGTGCTTCCACATTCTGACAAGAAAAATAATGACCAAAAAAGTAAAGTAGTGTTTGCACAGGAAGAGTCTTCTGATTATTTTTTGCTAAAGTATTAACTTCTCACATGAATTTATACTTTAAATATACATTATATATTATATGTAACATTTAAGTATAAAATATATATTATAGCTTAAATTGCAACTGTTTTAGAAACTTAAGAAAATACAAATTAGGGAAAAAAAACAAACCCTAGTACCACTTTAAAGGACTATTTTGAAGAAAACCTCTGGCTTTTTTTTTTTGAGATATAGTTGGCATACGAAGACCTTGATTTTTTTCCACAGCCCATAATGATAGCCATTTGCAGTGGCACACACCTGTAACTGCCAGCTACTCAGGAGCTGGGTGTGGGAGGATCACATAACCCCAAGAGTTCGAGACCAGCCTGGACCACATAGTGAGACCCACCCTAAAACAATGCACAAATATATGTAGTTGTTTCTGAGTAGTTGTCTTCCAGAATTGGTATTGACTCTGTTCAGCTTTTCCTTTTGCACTTATGAATATAACTAACAAAAATGTCATACACTTCCCAGTAATAGCTTTTCCACAACTCTATCCTCTTTTGCGCTACAGGTCTTCAGTAGCCTTAATCAGCCTAGTCTGAAATGTAATGCCACCTGGGTGCCCTATCTGCCTGTAATCCCAGCACTTGTGATTATCTTTCATGGGATGAACTACATGTTTGTTCTGTGTGATTAAAAAGCATTAAAAAAAAAAATAAAATAAAATAAAAAATAAAAAATAAAAAGCATTGTAGGGCCTGGGGATTTAGCTCAGCGGCAAAAGCGCCTGCTTGGCAAGCGCAAGGTCGTGAGTTCGGTTCCCGGTACCGGAGAAAAATCAAAAAATCAAAAAATCAAAAAATAAAAAAATAAAAAGCATTGTAATAAAGTGTTTTCCTTTTGAAATTTCTTCCAGAGTGGTCTGATGTACTGGCCTTTTGTGCAGGTGAGTTTCACATGCCTCAGAACCTGAGGTTGGGCTGCAGCTCAGCGACAGAGCAGTTGCCTAACGTGTGTGAGCTCCTGGGCTTGATCCCAGTGCTGCAAAAAAACCAGCCTCAGTCAGAAGGCTGACTCGTGGCTGGGACTCCTGTCCACCTCTCACAGACTGTCTCTGTTTCAGCTGACCAACTTCAGCCTCATTCCTGTGCACTGGAGAACAGCTTACACTGGACTCTGTGGTTTCCTCTGGGCCACCTTCCTTTGCTTTTCCCAGCAGACCGGGGATGGCACATTGAAGTCAGCCTTTATTCTCCTCCGTACCAAGGCAGCTGGTGCAGTTGAGAGACCTCCAGAGAAGTGAGAAATCGAGGACTCCTTTAACAGGCCCAAGGTTTTTTCCCCCTAAAGTGCACTGGATTGCCTACAGAGAAAATACTTGATTTACCTGTTATGTGGTTCATTTTGAAGAGTTACTGTTCCCTAGACCTACTTGTTTTTTAATTATATTATTATTATTATTGTTACTTTGTTTTTTAAAGGCAGGGTCTTGCCATATATTCTTAAACTCAAGATGTAGCTCAGGCTGGCCTTGAATTTGTGCTCCCCCTGCCTTGGCTTCCTGAGGGCTGGTATTACAGGAAAGTACCACCACACCCAGCCCAGTTATTATTTTAAATTTTATCCAAATCTGTTCTCTTTAGTCTGAAAGTCTTACTTCTCATATGATTTCACATCTCTGCTATTTTGGTTAAAAATACCAATAATGACGAAGTGGCATTTTAGAATTATTTATATTTTAATATTTCAGTGGTGGTTGAGTTCAGGAAAACCAAGTTCTGATTGTTTACATTTCTATTCTAAAATCACAGGTTATCTCTTAAACACTTATTTGATCAGATTAACTTTTATGTCAGAAATAATCCTTATAGTTTTCTTTTTTTTCCCCTTTTGTTGAGACAGGGTCTCACTTCATAGTTCAGATTGGCCTTGAACTTACTATATAGCCCACACTGATGTGAAACTTGTGGAGATCCTCCTGCCTTGGAGAAATAGTCCTTATAGTAAAATTTCTATTTCCATAAGATTTAATCACAGACAAGATTTAATAAGATTTCACCCCAAAATACTTTGTAATAATTTATTATTCTGATACTAAGATTGTGTAAGTACATTTTTGTCATCAAAAAAGAATGGTGTATGATTGATGTGTTCTATAGGAAATATTTTATTGATGTCCTCTACTTTTATAGTATCAGTGTATAGAGTATGATTGATGGTTTTCTATAGGAAATATTTTATTGATGTCTTGTACTTTTATAGTGTCAATGTATAGTGCTTATAATTACTTTTTAAAATTTTGAGCATATTCAGTTGACAGAAGTGCTCCATTTCTATAATACAGAAGAAAATGTTTGACTTTATAAATGCATACATACGCACACACCAACACACACACAGAGAGAGAGACTCACTAAGTCACCCTGACTGGCCTCAAACTCTTATTCCTGTTACCTCAGCCTCCCCTGCAGGGGGACTGCAGGTGTGCCACCATGCCTGATGTGAACTGTATTGAATAAAAGTTCTAAAACTAATAATTTGGAGTTGGGCATGGTGGTACATGCCTGCAGTCCCAGCACTCAGGGAGGCTGAGTCAGGAGGAGTCCAAGTTCAAGCTCAGCCTGGGTAACTGAGTGACTTTGTAAGACTGTCTCAAAATAAAAAATAAAAAGGGCTATAGATGTAGGTGAAGGTGAAGGATTAAATCCTGTGAAGGTTCTGGATTAAATTCTCTGTACCAGAAAAACAAAGAAAATTAAACTAATAATTTGGGCCAAGTGTATAGCTCAGTAGTAGAGCATTTGCCTAACATGCAAAGCCCTGGGTTGAATCCTCAGCACCAAAAAGAAGAAACACCTAGTTAAATTTTCTCCCACTGGGAAGAGAAGCGCAAATCCATACTGTACCAGGGAAAATAGTTTCCTAAAATTTACACTACTTTCGTATTTTCTTTCTCTCTTTTTGTGCGGAGGGGGGAGATGGGTGTCGCTAGGCCTTGAATCCAGGGCCTTGTGCGTGCTAAGGAAGCACTCTACCATTCAGCTATACCATCAGCCCACAGATATAATACTTTTAAAATTTAGTGCTTTAAATAAATCTTTATATTTTAATGTAGACATGAGAAATGAGTCTTTCAGATTCATTCAGTGTGTCCAATACCAGCAGGTTTAAAAATGTGACTAGCTGGGCACAGTGGCACTTGCCTGTAGTCCTACCTACTTGGGAGGCTAGCAAGAATGTTGCTTGAGTTTAAGACCATCCTGGGCAACATAGCAAGATCCTATCTCAAAAAACAGTAAGTCTAAAAAATAAATACAAAAAAGTAAGCAACTATATAAAGTTATGTGAAAACTGTAAACAATATCAGCAAATTTCATCTCAGAATTATCTCACAATTCTGTTGTTTCCAATGGAATTTTCCCCAGATTTCAAAATGTGAAGCACTGACCTCTTACTTTATCTTGAGAGCTTATTTTTAAGATCAATTTAAGAATGTATATCTAAATTTTTGAGCATGTAATTTATATAATTTGTAATAATTCTTATAGAAGTCATAAGCATGTAACTTCTAAGTATATAATTTATTTGAATATAATAGATATTAATATATTTTACATTAGGACAATAGGAATTTTCTTGTGTTATTTACATTATTTTAAAAGTAGTTACTACAATAGAAAAGCTATTTTATAATAAATAAGATGACCACTGGGCATAATGGCACACGCCTGTAATCCCAGCACTCAGGAGGCTGAAGCAGGAAGATTGTCACAAGTTTGAGACCAGCCTAGGCTACAAAGTGAGCTGAAGGCCAGCCTGAACTGCAAAGCAAGACCCTGTGTCAAAAAGACAAAAAAAAAAAAAAAAAGACGAATTTTATCATAAGCCTATGTAGGGTGCCTAGTGTAGTGGCACATGCCTGTAATCCCAGCACTCTGGAGGCTGAGGCAGAAGGACTGCTGCAAGTTCAAGGCCAGTGCACTGCATAGTGAAACCCTGTCTCAAGAAGACAAAAAAAAAGCTTATACTGGGTAATTACCTGCCAAATTTTTTGGAAACCTGATTTCCATTTGCAGTCTCCAAGATATCTCCCTTACTCAGATAACTGAAAAACGATTTCTCAGTTCAGGGAGAGTCTTTCCCACTATACAAATGGATGCAATGGAAATGAGATGAGGTTTTGAGGGAGAGAGCAAAGAGCTAGAAAAAGTATTTAAGCTCTGGGGTTGTTGCTCAGTGGAGGAATGTTTGCCTAGCAGGTGCGGTCCCTGGGTTTCATCTCAAGCACAGAAAAAAAGAAAAAAAAGAGATGAAAGAAAAAGAAAAGATATTTAGCTTCTAACTTAGAAGGAAATTTCCACTCACTGTTCTTCAGCTTGAAAAATGTAGTTGCTTCTGTGTGGCTTCCTTGTAATTATAAATCATGCATAATTTGCACCTTAGGAAAATTAATAAAAGTTACTCTCTTTTATCTGAGTCATAGTTTATTTTATCAGAAAGAATTAGGCAGATTGAGAATCAGGGTATGTTTAAAATTTTTTAAGAATCAAGTTTGAGGACTTTTTTTATAAGACCTTCATATTTTTCTCAAAATCTGTTCAGTAGGACGGTTTAGTGAATAAAGTAACTGATTATCTGCCCACTATACTGTTAGTGAAATTGGGCAGTTAGGGATTGATACAAATGAAGTACGCTTTAGGAAATTTAATTATTACCTGATTTGTATTGATGCTGTTTGGGTCAGAGTAAGAAACTGTTTAATGAATGAAAGAAATTACAGGTACTAAAAGTTAAGGCTCAAAGAAGAAAATATTTTCATATTATAGTACTTCATTAATAATTGTAATTTTGATTTTTAATGATTTGAAGGAAAATACATTCTATTTCCTTTGCATTAAAACTTAGACGTAAAGAAAATTAACTTTGGTAGTTTAGGTTATATCTAAATAGGGCCTTGCGTCAACAATGTTGAATACACTTGACAAAATTAAATGTGGATAGTGTCTTTAATAGAGATGGTTACCCAGCACTGCAGTTCCTCAGTCATACATCACTGCCATATACTTTACTTGATTACAATTTTTCTTCCAAAGACCGTCATGCTTTGGGATTCATTTGTAGCTATCAAAAATATTTTTTGTTACATGGGCAATTTACTTTTAGGTCAGTGGAATTTTATGTGAATTTCTACAGAGTGTTTGCCAAAACAAATTATGTTTAGAACATGCTTTAACAATATATTCTGGAGGCAACTTTCATTTGAAATTAAGTTCATCTTCTGAGAGTATTAAAAAGTTAATGGATTTCCGTGCCTGAAGACTTTGACCTTGCACTGGCAATATTTAATCCAGTTTTACTTCTAAGTCATAGAGTCTAAAAGAACTAAGTTGCTGAAAAATGTGACTCAAACTATTGGAAATTTCTTCTTTTCATACCATCAGCAGCTTGTAAATGAAGGGAAAAATCTTGTGTTTAAAGGTAAAGTATGTACTTGGGGTTTCAAGAGAAAGAACACATAAAGAGATGTGAGGACAGAGTAATTAGTAAGTGAACAATATTTTTGGCATATGCGTATGAGCTTGTCTTTTTCTAGTTCCAGTTTTTCTTGTTCTTTGTAAGTCTGTCTTTCGCCCATTTTTTCCTTCTTTCTTTGTCAACGCCCAAGTGAAACCTCCTTTTCTGGAGCTAAGGATGTAGCTTCTCAGTGGCGCCTAGAGACAGCAAAGCCCCAAAACAGAAACAAAATCCTGATCTTCCACGCTTTACCCACTGGCTGCAACTGGATCACCCAGACCCTCCAGGGAGCCGAATAATGGTTAAGGGCTGGCAGTCAGAGTACTTAAGTGACTCTTCAGTCGCTCTGTGCAGGAGGTGGTGCCCCCCTTTTTCCTTTCCTTCTTGTGAGTGCCTGGCCTTTATTTTCTCTGGCTATAGCATTCTGTCTTCCAAATTCTCATTTCTTTTCCTTGCCTCTCACAAATCCTATTTTTATCTGGCTGATTTCAGCTAAGTGGTAGAAAAGTAGGCTTATTACTCTAATTTGTAGGGGGTTTTTTGTAATTGCTAATGCAAACTTATTTCTGGATGGATTTTTCAGGAGTTCTTGCTGAAGGAGGAGGGTGTATTTTTGGCAGAAGTTTTCCAATTCACCTTGCATGATGCTGTCCACTTTCCATTGTACTGGAGACTGAACCCAGAGCCTTGGCACTGAGCTACATCACTCATCTTTTTTTTGTTTGTTTGTTTGTTTTTTCTCCAGTACCGGGAACCGAACTCACGACCTTGCGCTTGCCAGGCAGGCGCTTTGCCGCTGAGCTAAATCCCCAGCCCCCTACTCATCTTTTTTTTGAGACAGGGTCTCACTAAGTTCTAATAAGCAGCCCAGATTGGCCTCAAACCTGCAGTCGTTCTGCCTCAGCCTCCCGAGTAGTTGGGATTAAAGGCATGTGGCACCGTGCCCAGCAACTATGAGCACCTTGGGGGAAGAATGTTTTTCACTCA